TATTTGCCTGCTGCCTATAGGAAGCCAGAAGAGGGCATTAGAGTCATGGAGTTACAGACAGCTGCGTCCTGCTGTGTGGGTGCTGGGAATTGCACCCAAGTCCCTTGGAAAAGCAGTCAGTACTCTTAATTACTAAGCCACCGTCTCCCCAGCCCCTAGAGTTGTGTTTTAGAAGAACTTTGTGGAGAAATGCTCACAACATCATGCTTTTAGTAGAAAAATAAAACTATTCACAAAATGTGGAAATTTTTATTTACTTCTTTTAGTCTTCTTATTGTTTTTAAAGTTTTTACAATGAACAGGGACCACACTTACAATCAGAGGTTTAAAAAAAGGGATCAGTGTCATTTCTACAGCAAATGCTTCTGCAATGTCCAGGGTGGGAGATGGGCTTGAGTGGTTTTCATCCTCTGGCAAGCAGCCAATGGAGTTGACACCAAAGAATGTTTTGAGTCAGGAAGCTAAGGCTAGGTGGGAGAAAACCAGCTTTTTAAAAATGTCAACTTTTTCTGGGCAGTGGTGGTGCATGCCTTTAACCCCAGCAGTCAGGAGGCAGAGGAAGGTGGATCTCTGCAAGTCCTAGGCCAGGCTACTCTACACAGAGAAACACTACCTCAAAAAACCAACCAACCAACCAAACAAGCAAACAAAAAAACCCCAAACTAACAAACTAAATAAAGTCACCCCCCCCCCAAAAAAGTTGATCTCTGACCACTGAACAGATAGGAAAGAAGCTGGCAGAAAGCAAAGAACTAAAGAACACAGGTTCCAGAACATTTGTTCAGCAGGGTCAGTGCATCTGTGCTGACCAATGACAATGTGCCACCACCCTTGGGTGATGGTGCTGGTTGAATCAGCCGGGACTAGAAGACTACCTGGGGAGGGGCTTCTCCAGCAGGGCCCACAATCTCTTCCAGGTCCATCTGCTTCCAGCATGCATTGGTCCCAACAGGGGCAGCCCTCCACTTTCTAGCCACACACACTTCAGGGAAATGGGAGACTCCAGCCTTGAAGGCAGGTCTCTTGTCACAGCTCCCTGCTTCTCTCCCATTTGTAGCACAGAGAGGTAAGTTTCACATACTGGACAGAAGCCTGTGAGTCCAGGGCCTACCCATGCTTCATTATACACTCCATGCCACATTCCACCAGAGGCCACCTGCCAGATGAGGTGTGAACCCCATGATTAAATCATAACAGCAGTGAAATGAGTCCTGCTGCTTGCGGAGAGTGAAGGTAACTGTCCCCTTCAGGGACACCAGGGAGAGGCAGACATTAGCATCTGAGTTTGTCTCCCAGCTGCAGAGTTAGAGGAGAACCACGGCCCGCTTGTGATGGATAATCTTGACTGCATACAGAATGCAACTGAAACAAGATGCTGGGCACTCCTGTGAGGGATTTTCTTAGTCAGGTTATCTGAAGCAGGAAGACCCACAGTTAATGTGAGTGACACCTGGTCACAGACCACATAGAAGGACAGAGGGGAAGGAAACTTTGCTTTCTGCCTGCTTGGCCTTACTCCCATTGGTCTTCTAGCCTGTTGTTGAGACAGTCCTCCAACCATATTAGAATCAGCTTATCCAGGACTGTAACATGGACTGAAGGTGAACAGTTCCCCAGGAACCCTCCAGGGTAACAGCCCCAAACTGGGACTGCTGAGACACCAGCCTACGGACTGAACAACTACCAGGTTCGCAGTCTTATTGGCATGAGCAGACATTGCTGGAGTCTCAGACCGCATCCTATAAGACAACCTAGCAAATCCCCAAACACACACACACACACACACACACACACACACACACACACACACACA